ATAAGTAAAGCGATAAATTATGGAATTTAAATGTCCTACGCTATTACAACCCTTTGGAAATGGGGGGCACAAGTTTGTGAATGAGGGGAGGAAAGCAATAAAGCCTAATTATCTATTACAAACTATTGAATAGTTAATAATTGTGAAATAATAAAATGCGCAAGAATGTGAAGTAGAGGAAAGTAGTCATGTTTGGTGATTTTTTGATAGAGAAAAGATTTGGTAATTAACCTAATTAAACGACTTTATGTTTAAAAGAAATTAGTAAACCTAAATAAATTAAACTAAGATAAAAAACTAAATTCATTAATCAAAAGGAAAAAAAATTTAAGTATAGAAAAACCTAAATCTAAATTAATTTAAAAGAGAAATTAATTTTTAGAAAATATTGAGGTGTTATTTAGAAAAATATTTAAAGTATAAAGCTTAATTCTAATTAATTAAATCAAGGTAATTGAATTAAAACAATTTTAATTATAAAAAATTAAACTAATTAATTAGAAAACTAAATGAAAAATTTTATGATTTTTTTGTTGTTTTGATTTTATAGAAAAAAGAAAATGATTAAAAGAAAATAATTAAAATAAAAATAAAAATTAGTTGGGTAAATATTGTAAAAGTAAACAGGGGGTGTTAATAAAAGTCGAGGCCCAAGAAGGTCTTTTTTATTTGAGTCAGAAAATAAAAATGAAAATGTGAGAATGTGCCTGTAGTATGACAAGTAAAACGGGGGATGGGGGTATGAAGAAAATTCAGTCAAGGCCCAGAAACAAAAGTCCAGCGCTTATAATAATCATGTGAGAATGATTTCCTTGAGTGAACCATAGGCTTGCATTTGGATGCGTGGGATTTTCCAGCATGATGATTTGATGGTGTGGATGAGGGATGCATGGTGCACACGTTTGGATGTCCTGCACATGATCTCATAGAAATAAATATGCATGTGAAAATTAAAAGGGTATCGTCGGGCTCGAACCCAGGTCCCTATAGACAAATGACTTAGCGCGCGCATGCTCTGCCACTGGGGTGGCTGTTTCATCTGGTCATTATGCAACTTGAACTAAATTTATTATAAACTCATTCCTGATTGTAATTCATCCCCTACCTCGCACCAGAAGCCATGGACAATATTTTTGAATTTTCAAACTCGCTCATTTCTCAATCATTTTTAAAAGTGTAAACATGAAACTTACTTGGTTTTTCACCACGAATTCAACCATGTAAATAACTTAAGCTAACTCTCAAAGATAAACATGAATTTTTGTTGGTACCAAAATAAACCCTAATTTTTTAGAAAGTTCAACTTTAAAATTTGCATCACTCAGGCAATATAAATGAACACTAAAGGCATGGTTAGCTTCAGGGCAATGATGTTTACATTTTTCATTCACAAAGTAACCATTAATGATGCTTGTATAGGAAGTTCAAAGTTGAGAAAACTTACCTCAAAACTGGAAATCGTGTTTGAAGTTAGATCACTCCTAGAGGTGTGGTGATGATCTGGATAGCTTCACTAAACTCCCAGGAAGCTATTGCAATGCTTACTTTGGATTGTGAGTGGCTGGATTCTTCTGGAGAAGTCAAGTTGTAGGTTGCTGTTTTTAGAAATGGAGGATGATGAAGATGGTGTTACAGTTGTGTAGCAAGTGTTTGGATAGCCTCTTCATGAGTTTTAGAAGCTTTTTGATTGATTAAAAGTGAAAACGCACGAAGGGATTTGGTATTTGATGTGCAAGGTCAGAAATGGCAAGTAATGGAGTTTTTGGGGAAAATTCTGGTTTTAGGGAGTATGAGAGGGTTAGGAGGCTTGTAAACTCGTGTGTTAGCTTGCATATACTTTCTCTATTTATAGGCAAGAGGTTTTGGAGGTTCAAACAACCATATTTGTAAGATGACAAGTTGTGGTTTTGAAACTTAGTTTTGAAGCAACTTGAAATACATTGTTCCAATGCATAGTACAAGCATGGTCTAAAATGGCTAGAGGCTTTAGATATGTTTCTTATGGCTTTAATATTGTGTATGTTCAGAAGAAACAAGTGCAAGGCTCAAGGAGAGTGGACTTTGTGATTAAAGTCACTTTTCCAAAATGGAAGTCTTGGCTTTCTTCCCTTAATGGCAAAATGGTTTGAACAATGCCTTAACCACTTGGATAATAACTCAATCAATTATGTAAACATTAAATTATGAAGTGATTTTCAAGTTAGAAGCCTTCAAATCAAGATTATGCAGCATAGGCTTGAGATTTGATCATGTATTCTTCATGAAAAAGCCTTGTAATTCAAGAATGAATGCTCAAATTCATCTCTTCGAATCTCTTAGCTCAAAAATGATATTTTCAAGTTCTTCGACATTTTGGAAAGCTTGAAACATTATCTACAACCTTCATGTTTACCACGTTGGCTAAATTGACTTGGAACTTGATAAAAAATTTCCAAGAAGTTGGGACAAAAATCTGACCAAACTTGTTGAAAATTTCACCAAGTGTTTTGTTAAAAATGTCATGACTTCATGGGCCTATATCTCTTAATCCAAGAATTTTTTAGACATCAACCCTAAAGGACAAAGTTGTAGAATTCATCATGATCTACAACTTTCATGTTGAAATTTTTCCTTGAATCATCTTGCGTCTTGATGAAAAATGGTCGTGAAGTAGTGAATTTAATAAGGATAAAAACACTTAGAATTTTTCTAAGTCTTGGAAATCTTGAATTTTTGTTGACTTTTATTGACTTTCTTGATTCTTGATGATCAAGTTTGATATTTTAAATGACTTAATGAATATTTATCTTTGAAATTCATTGTTGACCAAAAAGTCAAAGTTTGACTTTTGTGTGTCAGTTGACGTTTCATCAGTTGATCAAAATTTCAACTATCAATCACTTGATCTTTGAGGATGTTTTGAATCATGCAATTAGGTCAAGATATTGTGTTTGAGTCCTTAAGATCATGCTTTAAGTCACTAGGCCATGTATTAGGTCAAAAGTCAATGATAATTCTCAGTCAAAACTCTAATTTTGACAATTTTGCCCCTTTGGTGATTTGAATGCTTTCCTTGAGGAATTATGATCAACTCTTGATCAATTTATGAATATGACTTCAAAATGTTGATGTTGGCCAAAAACCTTTAATTTTGACTGTAGGTTGACCATAGTTATCTTTTTACCCAATACAGTTGATATTCAGTCATCTTAGCAACTGATTGAGCAAATTTATGGTGCAAGACTTGAAACTTGGTATGTGCATTCTTGGAGACCTATAATGAACCATGAAGGTAATTTGAGGCATTAAAAATCTAATTTTCCTTGAAAAAAACAAAACCCTAATTATGGACCCAATGCTTAAGAGGTAAGCTTGTCTGATCAACTCTAGTGAATCCTTGAGCATTTGAGAACTTTTGTGAGGAATGTCTTGAAGAAAAGGGAGGGAAAATTTTGGGGTACAACACCAACAGTTGTTTGCCAAATTTCACGGTAAACACTGTCACACCGCTAAAAAACACAAAGTCGCCATTAAACTTTATTTATCCCAAAGGTAAGGGAAAACATCGATAAAACCTTAAAAGGTAGGATAAGATGGTCTTGCGACCAAGATACAGGTTCACGATTCGATTATGTAAGGGGAAGGTATTAGCATCCCTCACATCCATTATACTCAATGGAATCCATTTTGCTTGTTTGTTTCTAAGGGTGTTATTATATAAAAGTTTACTTGCTATGAATGATGAAAGGGGAAGATAAGTTTTAAATTAGTGAGCTTGCCATGATTTCCTGAATCCCGTGCCTACGTATCCCCATAGTGCAATAGAGAAGTTAGAGCTTCGTAGTTTGTATAAAAGGTTATTTGTTTGTTGTTTTTAGTGGACAATGTTAACGTTCGTGTTCTAGAAGTTAGGTGTTGTCGCTCGTTGCGTGGAGACTTATGCCTTACTTGTATTGTGGTAGAACATAAATAACATGTCTTTTCTAAAAGGTTTTAAAGTTGAAAAGCCATGAGGCAAGATGTTGCATTTAATTGGCTGAGATTACTTGTTAGGAGACACATACCAAATGGTACCCTAAGCTGAGGGTATTTGAATATACAGGAAGTTGGAAAGGAATACCCCAATAACTCCTTTTTCGCTTGAAAATGTTTATGATGCGTATCATACTAAAGACTATAAAATGGAGGCGAATACTTTGAATAAATGGGTTAGGCGTCTCATATCCAAAGTTATCATAGGGTGAGGTAAGGAAGACTCCCGCTCACACTTCTCCATTTACTTAAGGCTCATGGCGTATAATACATATCATATTTCTTAGGTATTTTGAATTTATTTGAGAAAATGAATTTTTGTCTTAGATGGAAAAGGAAAGCAAGATGAATGATGTAACAAGAGGGAATTTCTAACTAATGTTATCATGCAATCAAGATTTTAACCTAACATCTAATTCAACACTAAGTGATCAAAATGAAATTTAATCACCTAATGGAATATCCTAAGGGGGTATATCTCAAAAACAAAGGCACGCAATGTTAAAAAATGCACAAAATGATGAATGAGAGATGACACAAAAATATGAACAAGCATTAAGATCAAAATTGCACCAAAACCCTAAAATCACACTTGAAATTCTAATGGATCTAAAGAGAATTATGCATTTTCTATGATCATTTTATATGAACAAAATTAAAGAAAAAACCTAAAACCAAGATCAATATCCTCATGTATTTTCCATGTCAATTTGTAAAGAATTAACAAAATGAATCATGCAAGAATTAATAAAAAACTATGTAAAAATACTAACAAAGTTAACAAAAAAAATCACGCAGTGGGGGTACTGGATCCAAAAAGGGTGTATTAGCAATGAATGGGTGTAGGCTTGGCCTCAGAGGCCCAAAATTACCAATCAGAAACAAAAAAACGTGTGGCAATGGATCCTAGACGGGGTGTAGCGCATAAATATTGGACTAGGTGGCTTGTGAAGCCCAAACACAATTGACATGCACTCAGATAGTCCATCATGAAAGAAAATTCAAAAGAAAAAATAAAAAACGCTGAAACGATGTCGTATCGTGGTTGGTGTAGGTTTTTAAACGTAAGTTTTTCTATCTTCTTCACCGCAGCTTCAAACGAAACTCAAACCTTCAGCCACCGTGTCGGCGGTGCCCACGGTGACCTGGTTGTTTGGATTTTGTTCATGATTAGTGAGCTGTTTGGTCATGCTTGGATTTATTTCGTGGCCTGGTCTAGCATATCTTTGTGTTAATATTGAGTTGTTTTGGATGGAGGGAAGTGGCCTTTTGTTTATGTATATCAATTAGCTTTTGTTTTGTTTTATCTGTTGTGATGAACTGAATAGTTTAGATGCAGGGCAATTCATACTACCTGATTCAATCAATTAATCTGAACTGGATTTGGACTGAATGTCAATGAGTTAATTTGATTTTCTGTTTCAAATATTTTCTGTCATGAACTGGTTTTGAATGTGAACGGGTTAAATGGATGCGGTTATGGGTTTGGTTTGCTGATTGGATATGGTTTGTGATGTTTTGATGCATGTCTGGTTTAAGTTAAGTGATATTAAGGTATGGTTTGTGATATGTCGATGCTTGGCATGCATACAAGGTATTTAATTTTGCTTATGTTTTCTTTTGATATGTAGAGCTGCCATTAGTTGAAAGAAAACATGAAGAAGTTGAGGCATGGAAGTTGGTTTGGTAATGTTCATGGAAATAAGGCATGGCATACTAGAAGTTTGAGGACATGAAGGCTTTGAAGATGCATAGACAAAGTTGGAGAAGCTTGGATCTTGGTCATGGCATGAAGGCTTTGTGATGGCAAAGGCTCTTGGAGCACGAGGAAGTTGAAGTTGGATGGAAGATTAGGATTAGGTTCAAGTCTTGGTAGGTTTAGATTTGATATTTCCATGTAATCTCCTTGCAAAAAAGGCTTTGATGTATGCCTTTGTAATGGTGATGGTGGTTTGAACTCGTGATGTAAAGGTTTATGATGCACATGATGACCTTTGTAATGATATCTTCTTCAATTTTTTTTCTCTTCTAAGCTTCTAATTATTTCTTTTGATTTTGTGTGTTGAAGTCCATGATATATGATCTTGCAAATGAGGTATAACCTTGTAAGATTTTGAATCCAAATGATAAATTTTCCAATGTCCAAAGTGATCTCTTGGCCATGGAACAAAATCAACAAGGCATTTGCCAAAACGATCCCAAGAAATGACTTTGAAATGTTGTTGTTCAAAGTATGACATACCTTCCTTTGTTTGAACTTAAAATTCCAAGTCATAATGTACAAACCTTCATATTGTTCCTTTGACCTTCTCCTTGACTTTTGCATACTTGAAATGATCAATCATGCTTAGATGTCTTGACTTTTCAATGGTTCATGGCCATTGTTTCTTAGTTGCACTTTGAACAACTAATCTCTTCCTTAAACCTTAAATGAATCACCATGTCTCAAAGGCCTTTAGGTGAATTGAATAACATGTTTTGCACCCTAGCACTTTGGTCCATGAAACTGTAAGATCACTATTTAACTTAGGTGATTTGAGTGAAATCCATAGCTTGTGTCATAAGTAATCCAAGTACTCATATGAATCATCTGTACCCTCATATCCATAAACCCTGGCTTATAAAAAGAATCCAAATGAATATCCTTGTATGAAAACTATGGCCATGAGTCGTGAGACTTAAGCAACAATTGACTGGAGAAGACACCCTTGAATCGTGACATTCAAACCCTACTTGATGGATGATGGATAGATGAAACCTTGATCCCTAGCTCGAACAATAAGGCCCCTCTTAAATGATGGCTTCCTTGCATTGCATAATGAAGTCTTCTTGAAACAAACCTTAATTGCCATGAATACCAAGATATTCTCAATAATTAGTACCTCAAACCATGTTTAAAGCCTTGAGATTTTTCTGATGAACAACACCATATGGGACCCTTCTTTGAAAGTCACATGTTTAGGTAAATAAACCTTAATTTATGTGAAGATGATAGGCACAAAGAGATGACCTTCAATGCTTGAGTTTGTAGCCCTTGGATGAACCTTGTGGGTGACTTGTGTTGCAAGAAACTTCGAAGCCATTTTACATGTTTGAAGAAGATAAAGGTGTGAGGGCAAGATTCCTTCAATAAGGGTTTCAATGATGTCAGAATTTTCCACTATATGTTGAAAATGTTGCTAGATGATATGGTGGACAAGGAAGCATGAAAAGTCTTCAAGAATTGATATTTTTAGAAATTTCTATGCTTTGAGTCGACTCAAAGAAAGCTCTAGTCGACGCATGATTGAAAGTTGTTCCTTGGGGAAGTCTCGGGTTTGCTCATGTCGACTGTGTGGTCGACTTAACCTGAAAGCAATTTTTAGGAACTATGCATCGACGCATAGCCCTGGAGCGGTCGACGCATGGATTGAAAGTTGCGCCTTAGGAAAGTCTCGAGTTTGCTCACGTTGACTGTGTGGTCGACTAAACCTGGAAGTAGTTTTTAGGAACTATGCGTCAACGCACAACCCTGGAGCGGTCGACGCATGGATCACGCACTTTGTCTTCTGGCTCTCTCGGGAATGCTCAGGTCGAGTCCTCTTTTGGCATAAGTCGACCGTTCGCTTGTTAAATCTGTTTTTCAGCTTGACAGTTTGGATTTTGACTTGAGATAACATATATAATCTTGTAAGGTTCTATGATTTGATTTTTAACAAGAAAAGTGAGATAGATACACAAGGTACTCATCATCTTCAACCTCTCACTCATCCATTGACAACTACACATAATGATTTTTGTCGATCAAGGTACAAAGCGTGTGTTGATAACGTTTGAAGTAGAAGATTGCGATCTTGTTCAGGTTGAGTAATAGTGAGTTTTTCTTGAATAAAATTTGAGGGTTTTGTCCTCCAAGATCATTGGGATTTGGGTTTTTTTTTTACAATTCTTTGCTTCAAATTCAGTTGTGTTTAAGGGATTAAGGAACAGTGGGTTCGCTCGACAAGGTAGCTACAATCGGAGATATGTGAAGGAAGAATTGGGGTTACCATCTTGCAATCAAATCAACCGAGCAGTGGGTTTGAGAAACCATTTGGGTTCTCAACAAGGTAGCTACAACCGGAGGTTTATCAAAGATTTGTGACATACTTGGTTCAAATTGAATCAAGGGAAGAGAGGAGCTTGGTTTTCAATTCAACATATTGGGTTTGAATTGTGGTGACTATTTTCTCTCTCTTGTACAAACTTTGCAATCATAATAGAAATTATCCTAATTCTATATTCTAGAATTAGGGGCAGAGTATCCCACGTGAGGACGACTGAGAGAACTTCCTAAACAAATCGCGTGCCATTTTTTTTCTCTCGTCTTTTACCATTTATTTGTTATAATTTGTGAATTTGCACTTGTGGTTCCAATTGTCTGGATTTGTAGTGTGATAGAACTATTGCTAAGGACTATAGTAATCACTTTGATTTCTATAATTGATTTTAACACTACAAATTAAGATAGATTGGACTTGATGTGATTACGCACACCAACTGTTCGATAAAAGTCCAAAAGTGCAAATTTGTGGGTTTTCTTCTCAATAATTCATTGGGAGTAATTGGCTACAGTTAAAAAGTATAAGTGATCTATTATATTTGAATTAAGTGTTAATAATTCTCATTGATTCATTCCATTCGGTTTTACGCATATCCGGTCTTTTCAATAGAGGATTATTTTTAGACCAGTGTATCCGGGTAGGTTTCACTGTGTTTTAAGATTTCATTAAAAACTCTTTTTAAAAATCACAGTATCTATTCAACCCTCCTTCTAGATACGTCTTATCGTCTAACAAAAGGGTGTTGAGAAGATGAGCTTTGGATGATGTATGATCAAGCCTTTGTGGATTCATCAGATAACCTTGCATAAGGGTCAAACCCTAATCATGATCCTAGCATCTTCAGTTGAGACAAGCCTGCAAAAGATGAAACCCTAATGCCTTATGTAAAACCCTAATCTTATGACCATTGATTCAGGCATCAAGCCTCAAATGTTAGTGAATGTATGATGTGTTAGATGACTCGATGGAGGGTATGTGCATGAGGAATATGAGATGCATAAGCCAGGTCATTTGGATGAAAGGGTATGACAAATTTGTGGTATGACAACACTAACTTCTACGATTCTCACGTTTTCTCTACAAAGCTCAAGAAATCTCGGGTATGTCAACAAACTCAATGTCCTATTTGATTTCACTAGCATATTCATGCTTCCATTGTTTGCATTTTCTTTACTTTGAAAGTAATAGATAACTAACATGATTAGGAAAGAACAAATGACATGGTAAAATGTTTCTTTTAAATGCTTCATTCAAAGTTAATTCCTTATTATCTGTGAATGTTAGTATACATATGAAAGTAATGCTAGTTTTAAATTGAATTTCATCTCTTGTTTTGAGAAATATGTTGATTGAAATTAGATTCATACAAAACCTAAACTAAACTAAGTGAGATGTGTGAATTCTCATGTTTTACATAAATATATTGAGTGTGAGAATGCATTTAACTTAGTTGATCTTGCATAATTCTTGTATGTTTTATAGTGTGTATGAAATCATGGACATGATAAAGGAATTATTTCTTGGTTGATAAGAAAACTACTTGGTCAAATGAAGTCTAACATTGTAAGAATGTGATCCTTTGATAAACTCTTTTGAGCCCAAATGAAAAATTCTTTGATTTAGAAAAGTTATAATTTTTAGCCTATAAAAAACAATGTTTGAGTTGGGGAAATATTATATTTTCAAAAGATATGTAAAAGACAAAGTCGAAAGTCGGGAGAGAATAGTTTTTGAAAAACAAAAAGAAACAAGTAGTAAGAAGGTGATTAAAAGAAAGGTCATGCTAACGAGTTCTTTTAAGGCACTTTTTAAGGATTCAAATTAAAGAAAATATTTTTTTAAATAAATTAATTATATCTATTTTTATTGCATTGAATACAAGTATTTATAAGAAAACATATCTTTTATTTTTTAGAAAATTTAATTATTTTAATATCCAATACATTGAATACAAGTATTTAAAATAAAAACATATCTTTTTAAACTCTTAAGAGTGCCTCTAGATCACTCGTTAGCATTTTCCTTAAAAGAAAAAGAAAAAAAAAATAATTTAATAAAAAATAATAAAAATCAAAATCAAAAGAAAAGAAAAGAAATATTCAAAGTGTCAAAGATAACTATTAAAAAAAAAAACTCCAAGAACAAAATTGTAA